GGTGTTAGGCAGGAATCCACGCGGATCCCACTATACCATATGTCTTTAGGCGCTGCTACGGCCGAGAAGCCTGGCCCGCTCGATGTTGGCCCAGAATTCGGGACGCTTGCCGGTCCGGCATCAAGACGAGATCTGACTGGTCAACAATCTGGACCCAACAGCCAATCATGATCCAGTATTGACCAAATGCCGGTTGCCAATGGCGCTCCAGAACGCGTCAGAACTTCGAGAAAGTTATAACCGCTTACGCTATATATGCGAAGCGCTGTACAACTATTCTTGACTTCGTTTTGGGCGTTCATAGACCTTGTGCACCTTTGGTGGTTGTTTTGACGTGAACGCTACCTTGGGAGGCTCAGACCGAGAACTAAGCTGAGGAAAATACCGTTACTACAGAGACATTTCAGGATAGATTAATCCAGACGAGGATTTCAACCAAGATTCAGCTAATCCCCCGGTTAACACAAACGTAAGTTGCAAATAAGCTTTTTTCAATTTCAGAACCCTTCTTTTTCAAATAGACGTTTCGGAAGTAATATTTTCAAACGGCAGAACAAATTCGGCTGGCTGAAAACCAAGATCATGAGCAGGAGGTAACCATACAGACGAATTTGAAATGTACCAGCAATTCACGAACCATACGCACTGAAGATGCCAAAAATTCTCCTTTCATAAAAACGAGGCACAGTTCATTATCGTGTGTTCGTTAAGCACATGTCACATAAGATGCGAAGGCATCTCAAAGCTCCAGAATATGCTGAAGTACATGTACGTAGTGCTCAAAATTCAATCACTCTTAGATTCCAGCCGCCCATTCATATTGCTTTCATACTTTAGAGCATCGATGTGGGCCTGATCAAATTCGTTTACTAGAACTCGACCCTATGTTTTCAAGGAATTGATAAAAGCTCACAGTATAGAGCTTCGAACTGCCCGCTCCATTTATATTGCGTTTCTGAACTTCACCGATTTTCTTGCATTGTCTGACTATTCGTTTTTAGACAGAATGAATGCACCTATAGCGAACTATGTAACATTTATGTTTGTTTTTTACAAGAAGGTTTTCCTATCATCAAAAACCAAAATTTTCCCCACAACGCAGTCATACAAGTCCGGCAAAAATAATAAATCATTCCGATATTACGATAATTACAGTTATAAACTCCGAAAGACACGCTTTTTAAGTGTTAAGGAGCACATTAAATCCAAAGAGCTTGGGTAAGCGCATTAACTTTTGTTATTCTAGTCTTCTCCTTTAGCGAGATTATGATAAAATAGATTTGACGATTTTGATCAGAAACCCAAAGGAGTTGCACATAAGCTGATTAATATATGTGCCGCAGCGTTCCTGCAGTAATTTCTCAAAACCAATTAAGGTAGACCTGATCGAACCTATAGTCATGGTCAAAAAGGAAAGCAACTGAAATCTAGTGTTGCAACAGAGACTCGCAATAGTCACACCAGAGAGTCGTCACATTGGGGATAACAAAGTAGCGATAGTTTTTATTATCGGATTATAATTCGGCTAAATGTCATTTAAAAGTAACCGGTCTAGAGGAAGTCAGACGAAATAACTTTTCTGAGCCTTCTGGCTGAGGTTGTGCTAAATGATCTAAGCGTTCAAGTTCGCTTAAATCAACACACAAAACTCACATGCAGGTAAAAGATAGCGAACAGATAGAATATCATTCATCATATAAAGGTGAATAAAACTCATTCCATTTGACTTGTAAACTCTTTTCTTTCATGCTCCACGTGATGCACCAAATCGGTTTTTAGTTCCAATTGACTCTTATTTGTGTCTTGCAACTAGCTCTCCATTTCATGAACTTCAATTTTAAGTGGGTCACATGCAAAGGTTTTCTTTTCCAATCTTGTCCGAAGATCATATTTCTGCCAAGAACAAAAAAGCAAATACGCGCCAATTAGAATCTTTCAAAATCCGGCTACATCAGGTTTCACATCGAATACCAGCCTAGGAGCATTTCGACCGTACATGCCTTCAAAGTCGTGAACAGAAAGGTAAGGAGTATTTTTGGTGAATGTATGCATTTGTTAGCCATCAGGCTTAGAAATGGCCGGGAATTTCTCAACATAGAAAAACTCGAAGATCGCAAAGTTGTGGTAGTAGGATCTGCGCAATAAACTTGCTCAGGTCACCTCAGTGAACGCTTTCAGCAGTTACCAGATAGATAGATGAACATGACGTGTTGACAGCGGGAAGATTCATCTTCTAGCAGGTCGTTTAGAACCAGAACCAGCTTATCTTCTTCTAAAATAGACTGGTACACTAAAAAATTTTAATCCAATTTTAATCCAATATCTTTGAGTAAAACGATCCCACGCATCAGCTGGTAAAATAAGTGCAAACCCATCGTAAAGGAAACTACTCACAACGTGGCGTGAAACTCTTCGACAGCCCACGACCGGTTTGCCCATCTTGGGGCTCATCAGGTGGACGCAGTCCCCGAGTTTCCGTCAAACTTATGTTTTATTTGAATATCATAAACGAGAGATTTATTTGAGTCTCTCGTAAAAACCAAATTGATTTGCAAATCAGTGTTTTTCTTGAAGTGCAAACCCTCTTATGGAATTAAAGGGGACTACTGCAGCCTGGATAGATTCTCCGCATTTGGCGTTTTCGTCCCTTTCTTTGATCAAACATTTACCGCAAGACACTGTGTGATGCCAGTTATTGCATTCATTGGACGCTATCCAATTTACTATGGTTTCACCATTCCTCAGTGTGAGTTTTACGCTTGGTTCACATCGGACATAAAGCGCCAGATTTGAGTATCCCCGTTATTAAAGTTCATCATCAGCACAATCTCAGGCATACCGGTTTAATAACCGGTGTCTGTTATGGAATGCAAGTTTGGTACAGCTACTGCGACGGCGTTCTTAGAAAGATTCTAATCATATAATTGTCAACCAGTACTACTGGGATAGATACTGGGTGGAATTCCGGTATGTCAAATTAAACTACTGTTTAAACGCCATGTTTGGTCCTGGAGAGGGCATGCAAGCATTTCAACTGCGGTAGCAGGCGAAAAATTATGGATTTATCTCAGCAGTGAAGGAGGACAACCGATAAGTGATATTTGCAAGATTGAATGATCTATTTTGAGCACACTCACTTTACGGAGTCACGATTAAATGCACAACCGACAGCTTAACGTGTACTGAGGGAAACGACTCGGGTTGACCAGTGTTATAAAAATAAGTGCAGAAGTTGACAGAATATCGGTACCTAAAAGAACTAAAAAACCGCTTTCCAGGCCATTCCGGGAGTATATTTTGGTCAGTTGCTTCTAAACAAAGACTTTTTGAGTATTTTCCTAGCTGTTGCTCATTGCGTTGATTTATTGGCGTTCCCGTTCTTGCTATGAGGTGTCTTGGCGCCTGCCAACCGATGACAGTGGCGTTCTTGTTGTCAGTTTCTATCCAGATTGCCTGAGTGAATGTCTGGAGGTGTAGGCACCTTGGAATGATTGTGGTAAGCTAGTACTAAGTCCCTTCCCCGTCCACCTTTACTCTTTTCTTTACAATAAGGCTTTCAAATAAATCATGGTTGTACGGCAGTGAAGCATCAGTGTTGAACACTGATGTCATGCTGTCGATGTAGTGTGTGTATTCTTCATCCGAATGTTTTTCTTCTAAGGTTACGTGCCATCATTTATTATCCCAAGATTGTCGTGTTACATGGAATTCCTCCTGAGCTGACTAAGTTGAACAGACGCTTGATGGAAGAAAGATACTACAACCAAGCTGATGATCATCACCACATAGGTCACTAATTGAGTTTTTTCCCCAATGGTTATGAGCTCAAATCATTCCAGCAATTAACGAAAACCCCAGTGGTGCCAGTTTTCCAGGAATACAAAGCAGCCGTACTTTGGACTCTGGCCTTTCGGCTTAGGCGGGTATTGTCCTGATCAGTTTAACCTACCAGCAAACACAGGCGTAACTAGTTTGCTTGACAGATTTATGTATATTTGCCATGATTTCTTCGATAATATGAATGTTTTAGACCCCACAAGGATTCCCTGATAAAAAAGGTATCGTTACACTGTTGTTGCTTCAGTTACCACGAAGCTAGCGCTTATTTGTTGTTGTATCATATCGATAACTGTTGTAAAAGTCCACAGAAGACAGTACATTGAATTGCCTATTCATAAGCGAAACTTCAGGCGGTATTTAGATGTATAAGATTAATTAAAACGACTGAATACCAACCATGGTAATTTGCAGTGCACGGAACAATGCACATCTTTCGCTCATCGCAGACTTCCTCCCTCCTAAATTTCGACACACATATCAGGGAATACTGTCATCATGTGCCTAATGTTTGTTGGGGATTCTGAGCAAATAGCAAGTGACGTATGAGGTAGACGTAGAATTAGCATGGAAACTTTTTCCTGTCAGAACACATTACCATTTGCAATAATTGATCGATTTTCTCTTCTCCCTGGCTTCCGTCCTGTTCCGTTTGCACTCCTGTTTCCTTCGTTAAGCGGAGCTGGAACTGACCATCACACTTCATATCTTCCTAATGGGGTCAGGAAGGAAGTGAGACTGTTGACATGTGTACAATAAGCATACTGTTGAATCTGATTTTATGTGTAGGATTCAGCCTTGCTATTAGGCGTAGGCGGTCTTATTATTAGTGCTGGTGAAAATTACACAACTGGACTTTGTACTACTGGACGAACGAGGAAGGTTTCCAGTGTGAGAAAATGACAGCTACATGCTATATCACTGGAGTAATGATGCGGTGCTTCTCCAAGTACAGTTAGGTGATTTATACTTTACAACGTGTGGGCATTAGCACCAGCAAAAGGTTGAGAAACGCTTCGCGTCTCTGTCTAACGCTGGAATCCGTGGGATATTTTTACGGCAGGAAGACATTTTCCAACCCAGCGGTCTGGCTACTGTGCTTTTTGTCATTTTAAGATGACTTTGTTGTTTTCTAGCCGTGATTTATGAAGCCGCGAAGAAATCACCGTTTAAATTATTCTGTGAGAAGAAACAATGACACGTCGGTTAAATATGGCCTTTCAGAAGGAGAGGTACAAGAAGAGTGCAAATTTCGGTTAGGACATCAAATATTCTATTTCCACAGGGATAACCAGAATAGGGGTACCGATGTGAATATGTCGATCGAAGACCTACTGGTTTGCGCAGTAAGGTTGTCGGCTAAATGGTCGCGGTAGTTTGTAGGTGATAATCCGCTAAATTTCTTGACAGGGCTGGGAGTGTTACCACACACGCGAAACGTGTTTTTCAGCAAAGCCTGCGCATAAATTCTGATCACCAAGCCTTAATGTCTAGCTTTGGAATGTTGACTTTAATTTTTCAGCAACTGCCAGTTGATCACCTTTGAAAAAACGCATCAACTGCATCCAACACCCAACGTTTTCTGATCTCTGAAATCTTAACAGTTACTCACGTAACCTCCACATCTTTACTACCAATCTAGGTGTTTGTGACATGCATCTCCATCCGGTTTAGTTCGTCTGCTTACAGTTTTTCGTAGATGCATGCTAAGAGGCACTCAAAAGTGACTCTCAGGTCCATTGCACGAGTGGTGGACAATGACTTGGCAACGAAGTACGAAAACACTAACCAGTAAAATTAGTCACTTGGGCAACTGCCGCCTTCATGATTGGGGACCCCGGGACTTAAATCGCCAGTGATTAGTGACGGAAACGGCCCAGTCGCGCAGTCAGTGGTGCTCATGCATCAAAGCTATCGCGTTCAGTGCGTAGCTACCCCACTGCCGAACAAGCGAAGCATGCTTTCGCGTTCAAGGCTCTGTTGTATATTCCACTTCTCCGCTTTCCGGTGATCGAAATTGTAGCAGTTGGAACCAGGGTGACTGTGGCATACGGTGTATAAGTTGAATTAAGTTTGTTAAAACAATTCGATATAAAGTATTCAAGATACTATCAACCTATTATTAGCTATGTCTTCTAACACTAACTTTCCTTTCGTACCTTACTGAAAACTCCAGTTTACTGTGAACACTAAACCAGCCACCTTAACTTTTCCCGTGATATGCGGTGCTCGTCTAAAACCACTTTTGCATTTGTACAGGTTTTTGTGTACTGTTCGCCTGTTTATCAGAGATCGGTTCCACTAAAAATTAATGAGTCTCTTCCCACTACCACCTAATTACGTAATCGGCAGGCAATTTAACCCCTTCCGAAATCCATTAGGAAACGCTTTTAAATCTGAGAATACCCGAAGACGCATCGACGTCCTGCAGGTTGTCCTGTTTTATATTTTCATCTATCTGAGTTGCAATTCTCTGAACCTTCACTTTGCCGGATACCTTGCGACGGACGTTTCAATGCACAGTGATCAAAAACAGACCCCCTTATCTAAACTGCCTTCATAAATTCTGTTCCCCTTAAGCTTTCAGAAGCCCTTTTATGTTAGAATTAATCCGATTTTTTTAATGTGGTTTTTTATGTGGATGGTATACCAAAAACTTATACCTAAAAGTGTATTGGAAGCACACATACAGAACCGATATGATACCCCTCAACAGACCATGACTCAGTGCCTACAAACACGAAAACGTTTATATGACATCAGCGTTCATATAGGTTTCTGGTGAATATCCCAAAACGTATTCGGGAATTTCATAGTAATGTGAGGAGACTTCATAATATTCAGTAGAGATTTCATCTTATCGGTAAAGCCAATCTATGTTTAAAAGCCGAGAAGTGCTATACAGTTGTTTCATCCTTGTTGGTAGTCATCAGCAGCGCGCATCTCACGAGACTCAGAGAATTTTGAAACCACCAGAGCCCGGCTAGTGGTTGAACATTTAGCCGTCTGGCCGTCTGATCGGCAGTGTGATTAGCCCCCAATATGACAGGGCGTAGCGCCACTCTTCCCTCAATAATTTCACTGGGATGTGAAACGTCCCTCTGAGAACCTCTCTATTGAAGTATAAGTGGCGTCACGTCTTGTCTTAGTGAGAACTAATCACACTGATAATCAGCAATCCCTGGCCAAACGGTTAAGTGTTCAGCCGCAAGCCAGACGGTCGCGAGCTCGTTTCGTGAGACACGTACTCCTAATGATTCCCGACAAAACTTAAACGGCTATACAGTGCTTCTCAAATTTTCAGCACAGATGGGCTTCACTGACACCCCACTGTATTCAGAACTACCTACTTTACAGTGTTTCTTCTACCTACCTTATGCTGTAAACGCCACGAGGCACAGCAACAGCTGGGTTTTCAGGGTGGTCCAAAAGAACGTGATTTGGTTACCGAATTTCCACTCTTTGTCGGATGAAGCTTTCCTCAAAACATTTGGGTGAATTAATCCTAATTTAAATAGACTAATCTCGAAAAGGTCAACTACCAACAGTTCAGCAGTTCAAAGCTACGACTGGCTTTCAACAAACAACGGAATCACGTGACTCGGAACTTACTTGTGTTTGACTGTGTCCGGAGTTGGAACAAAGAACACCTTCAAGTTGATCAAAGATAGAAGTTTCGGTGCCCACCGACCGGTCCACAAAACTAAATGCACAGTAATTTAAAGCCTGAAAGTTGAAACTAAATATTTCAGTGTAATCTGTGAGACAATAAACTGATCAAACTACCAGACGGCAGAATGCTGCCTGTTGTTGGGCATGTTCCCGTAAAACGGCTATGGCCATGGCTCTAAATGGAGAATATTGGTTATTCAAACGGATACTTGGAGCATATTGTCCTGATGGACGAAGGGTGGGGGCAAGTAGAAAGTGGAGTACTTAGCCCAGGAAGAGCGGAGGCCGTACATGACTTACCATTAAATTGGTCGATTCCACCATATCGAAAAAAATAGCCTACCACATACACTACATTGAGAGTATTTTCAGATAAGAAACAACGCACATCAACAATGTGGATTGTGCGAACCATATATAACCACGGGCATCACTGGACAAAGCGGATGCATTCAATTGCTCTTCGTGTATCATTGGTCAGCTAGTGCTCCAACGAGTGGCGTTACGACCCGGGTCAACCAAATTTACGACGAAGAACTTATATACTTTGCAGAGGAAAGCATTCACGATTGTGTGAGATATTGCTCATTCAGACAGACTCATTTTAGACACCCCATTATGCTCAATCAACGCATACTTAGGATAACCTTAGCAGCTCAGGTTGCGTAGATGTCCATTAATTTCTTTCGCTGAGGTGGGCAAAGCGGCTACATAATCTTTTTCAAAAATCGAGGAGACAGATGGCGGTCTGGGAGGGTCCAGGTCAGAGCCCACTCCAGTGGATGACAGCAAAAGAGGCAAAGCTCAAAGACAAGACGAAGATCAACCAATCAGACCAATCGCTAACAAGCCAACCAGTAGAATTGCCAGTTGGAGTCTGTGTGCTCCAGCGGCACGTACATTGCCATACAAAGAAACACCGGTCCAACGTTTCACACCGAAGATGTTACCTCGATATAAAACTTTCGTGACCATACTGCATAGCTCAGCAAACGAGGAATCGACAGTTACCGCAAATAGTTTGATGGAAGCAGGCGAGCTAATCCACGCTGTCAATTCGCCAACTTATATCTCCATTGCTTACATTATCACAAGGCATCTCAGGTACACCGCTGGTTCCCAATTAGGCATACATATACATATATCAATTTGCCACACTTTTGGTCAGTGTATGAGGATTGTGTTGATTAGTGGGTCACCAGTCCTCTATCGGATCCAATGCTTTTCCTTTTTGTATGCATTTACGAAGGCGTCCGACAAAAGTCGGGGTAACATTAGTTCCTTCGTCTTTTCAAACGAGTTAAAAATACAGATGAATATTGGGTACTTAGTAGCAATGATAGGTGTCGTTAATCTGGATATTATAGCCATCATTAATATCATGGCTAAGAGCAAGGTAGGATATATCAACAAACGTCTGACGTAGTCTTAGGTTACAGCCAGTATCACTGTTGGGCGCTATGTCTCAGCATCCATTAATTTGGCAAATTAATTTGAAAAACTTCTACTTCTTGGTCACCTTGTTAGAGACTATAGCAATATTGGAGACGGACGACAATATTGTACAGAAGTGGGGATACCAAGTTCTGCACTGGTGTTGATCTCAGTATAAAGCCAATTCACGTCTGTTGACTTCCCATTATTGTTTTTGTAACGATTATTCAACAAAGTGCGGTTAACTTACCGATCTAAAGACTTAACATTTTGCCTATATTTTCGTTTCTTTCGGGCGTGATCCTCATTAGCGACTGATATATGTTGTTTTAGCTCATCCAGTCCACTTTCAATGCAAGAAGGAACTTGCTTCGTTTCTTCTAGGTGGGTTTTTTGCTGACTACGTAACAGCTGTTGGAGTTGCTGCCCAATTTTCGCCGTCACTTCATCACGAACCCGAGCGCATTCTCTGTTTACCGTACTAGCCCACTTCTTGTCTAATTCCGCTTTTATCTCCGTGAATTGACTACTTTTCTGCAACTATCATGGTCGTGAAATAAATCAAAAGGGAGAGAAGTAAATTTGGTGTATGATATGTGATTGCTGTATAGATTCTCACGCAAAATATCCATAAATCTCTTTTGTTTTAAAAACAAACTGCACGAATAATGTGCGCAGTCCATATACAAGAACAGAGATATTTGGTCGGTGAGCCATTGGCCAATAAGTCGGTCAGGCATGGAAGGAATTACCTCACTATGTGAGGTGAAAAATGCAAACCTCAAGATTAATTATTTGACCAATTATTCAAGAGGAAACACAAAATATGCCTTTTTTAGTATGTGAGGTACTCAGTTAGAAAAAAACGATCATTTCTATTGACGTGTCTTGCGAGCACACCATAGCTGAGAAGGCGGTGATCCGCTAACCCAGTTTGATCCTCTGTTCACAAAAACTGATGATTTGATCATCAAGATCACCCCGGTTAACCAGCATGTTAGCAAGCACATGGAAGTGCACACACGAGACAGTCTGTTTATCTTCGATGAGCTGCCATGTAGAACCGGAATCACCGCACAATATATGCTATGTGATTGCTGTATAACTCTGGGATTTTGCACTGTACTTTGCAAATTAATTTTATGATTACACCAAGGGTACAATATTCGATAGCTTGTTACTTGTAAGATAATTCGTAACACAGAGGTGATTCATTGATAAAAACCAACAGGGAAGGAGAAGCTTAGTTTTTCTAGGACCACTAAATAAATAATTATAATTCATTTTCGGATGCTCCCCTTGTCATTTTAAAGACCAACTCTACAAAGGACTGTGTGCATCCGTCTACCCTTATCCCACAGAATTATTGCAAACAAATACCAGCAAGTATTGGGCCAAGTCAACGATAACAGAGATAACAATATTTCAAACATTTAGCAGCATTTAAAGCTGGGAACATGAGTTGCAAACACAGAGGGCACTGTAAAACATGAAGCATTGGGAAGGCAAATTGGGTGTCAATAGACGCACACGTTATAATCACATGTATCTCCAGTGCAGTCATCCTCCTCTCCATAATGCTGGCTAAATCAAACCAAAGGAGCTGGGCCAGAATGTCATTCTTAATAGGGCTAAGAGAATGAACTGGATGTGAAACCCCGACATCTGATAGATAAGGCGAGTGTTTTGCCACTACTCAATGAATACACACTCACCACACACAAATTATCATGGCTTTATAGAAGAACCTGCTCATGCCTGTGAAAAACAGTGGCTGATCAAACAAGATTGAGGTGAATGTAAATTTCACAGGATTTCAACCAGTAGTCCTGAAAGACTGCTCATTGAAACTAATAGAGAAGTATGACGTGGGCTCTTGAATCACTTATTTTGATTCACCACCGTTGTCATGGCCTCATAATAGGCGCACGAGACACTAGTGAAATAGATGGAAGAATGCAAGTGAAATAAGCAAATTCTCTACAAATTAAGTTCTGCTCCCCTACCTTCAATCTTTCGAGCAGAACTTTGTTCTGTTTCTGCAAATCTTCCAGAATTTCGGTGCGTTGTTCCAGTTTGCGCTCAGCTTCTTTCGCTCTGGATTGCGTTTCACTTATTGCCCATATAGATTTCCGTAATTTACAGTCCAGTTCTTCCAATTCATTGTGTGTTTCGGCATCTTTCTGTCTCATTTGGGTCTGGAGTTTAACAAACTAGAATGCAGTTGAGATACTACGGGTTACTTCACACGCCCTTAGTTGCATTCTGGTACAAAGACCTATGTGACGCTTTGCACGCAAAAACTTGCTACGGTCTTATAGCCAAAGATCTGAACTTAAGGTCTTTCATTCACATCCGTGAGGTTTACGGTAATTAGGGACGTATGGGTTCTATCACATGCAGCGGCAAGTAGTGTCTACATAAACATCGTATCGCTTGTGCTACAGGTCAGTGAGTTGACAATGATACTGAGATGCATAGAAAGTGCTCTTGATACAATACGACACCCAAATGTAATGAAGCATTTAATTATGAGCATGCACAGAAGTATTATGTACAGGCAGTGACATAACCTTGCTGAAACCCTCACTAGTTACCATTTATAATATCAGGACATCAGATAGATCACTCGCCTAGGGACTCACCACAGAAACTTATTTGGTTAGACACAGAGGTACTTCGACCAAGCGGTAAACCTGAGACTATTTCTTTAGTAGTCTAGGTCAGTTAGCGATTACGTCCACCGGCTTAAAGTCTGAAACGAGGAACTGAAGGATCTAGTGACAGGCCCCTCTGAGCCAACATGGAAAATATCAAGTAGCACTCGAATACTGTTGTGGGAGACGTTTCGTGGGTGTAAATATACCTAATACAGATTGATTATATTGAGTCGACCTCTCGAATGGTACCAACAAAAACAATGGGAATTTTTAATCCGAACCTTGGGATGAACCTGCTTTGGATTATGGTTCGTGACGAAACATCAGTGTGATATCGTGCAAAATAAAATAAGAAATTGAACCATCAGGAAACAATCTGTGATAAGCCATTTGGTGTTCTATAGCCAAGTTGACATCCTAATGTCTATACAGTACGACTGGTAGTAAGCCTCTTCCATTGTGACCAGAAGTTGTAACTGATGTTTTTTTGCGGATATCCAGATAGATTCTGCGGTTGCATTTGGTTGCCTTTTATTTTTCAAATTGAACCCAGCTAAGTATTCAGTTAATCCTGAATTCGTCCGATGAAAAACTATTTAATTCCACATCTCAATGACAGACCCCATGAAATCGCACACGTATCATACTAATCGCTCGGACTATAATATTTGTGTTCTTACCCCCTTCCTTCATGGGTTGGTTATTCCCAAGATCACATCGGTACCATGGCATCGTTCTTTGTGTTCCTCCGGATACAACATTTGTGTACTAGTTAACCAAGTCTGTCACAAAAATCCACCCAGAGTAGGATCAGCATTTACCCATGAGTCTTAGAAACACTTGTTCATACATGCTGCGATAAGCACTCATTACGGGATGACTGAAGCCAAGGGACTGATATGAGATGGAATGGATGATATGGAGATAATATGAAATAAGTCGGGCTCAATGGCGCTCATTGCGACGTTGAGCAAAGCTTAAATTTCAAGGAATGATAATAAGTGGTTTTTAGCTTCGTGAATGAAACCACTGTACACCCAGTTTAACCAGGTTCAGCACATTTACACAAGTTAGTAATCGGGCACAAGCTCACTTGTGCTCCACAATCCCTAACTTTAGTACTGCCAATCAGCTCCCGTAGTCTGCGGTTTATTCAAGTAATTCGGAGGCCATCATGCACAAGACATCCATTTGAGAGGTAAAATTGCCCCTCTGGGGCCAATTTCATCAGTTCATAGAGAAGGAATGGTTTTCCTCCTCAAGACATTTGTAAGAATTGTTGCATCGGCTGTTTACTTTAAATTTCCTGGGACAGTTGCACAAATGTCGATTGCTGTATTTTCACAATAAGACCACCTCATCTTCTTAGGCAGGTGAACGATTCAAAGCTTCAAGCCTTTTTGTCGCCCAAATCTGTACAAAACTATAGTAAGGCCCGGCAGATCGAGGTCTTTCGACAATAGTGGTCCCCTCACACAGGTGTGGGATCATTAAAAAAACTGCTATTGTAGTAGAATGTAGCCTAGAGATCATTACTTTGCTTAAAATGGAGTTCAGTCTCCTGTTTCAAAAGTTCCCACCGTAAATTTTCCATGGAATCGTGGGATGCACTAAAATAAAAATGATTTAATTTGTCTCTTGAGTAAAGCATAATTGTGCTAACCTTGTGTTATAAAATTTCGATGTCGGAATTCAGACGATTTATCCTTAATAACATAAACTTCCTAATCTATTCGGAAAACTAGAAAACCAATTTCAGTAAAGAAATATACTTTCGAAATGCTCGTGGAAACTGCTGCCCTTCGTGTGTGCAAGGTGCTTATCTCTCCCGAGACCTTAGTAGGAAGTTGACGCACAGATAACCTAGTCATGCCTTCGTCATCATCATCATCTGTAAGTCTGCTCTCGAAAGCGACATAAAATAAGTTGATAGTGAAAACCTGGCAAACTAAGGCAAA